TACGTTACGTTACGTACGTTACGTTACGTACGTTACGTTAGTTAGTAGTACGTACGTCGTACGACGAACGACGAGTAGTGTGTGTGTGTGTGTGTGTGTGTGTGTGTGTGTGTGTGTGTGTGTGTGTGTGTGTGTGTGTGTGTGTGTGTGTGTGTGTGTGTGTGTGTGTGTGTGTGTGTGTGTGTGTGTGTGTGTGTGTGTGTGTGTGTGTGTGTGTGTGTGTGTGTGTGTGTGTGTGTGTGTGTGTGTGTGTGTGTGTGTGTGTGTGTCTTTTTGAACTTTATTGAATGGAAACATGAATTCTTCACTTGTTTCAAATGTTGACCCTGTTTACTGCCTAAAAAATATGCCACAGGTTGTGTGAACATCCAGACATCAGTGTAGTCTGGTCATTTTGTGAATGAACATATCTTTACAATGAAGCTGACTGACTGACAGTTACAAACTATAATGTCTTGTTTTTAGAAAGAGAATGAAAATGTGTATGAAGCCAAAGAAGGAACTAAATTCCCTGTGAAGTGGACCGCTCCGGAAGCCATGCACGACAACAAGTTCAGCATTAAATCAGATGTTTGGTCCTTTGGAATCCTGCTGTATGAGATCATGACGTTTGGACAGATGCCTTATCCCGGTGAGACTCTCATCTTGCTGGTCATAAATCATTCTCTGAGATTGAGAAAACATTGTATTCAGAATTCTATGATTTTAAGTAACTTTCCAAAGGTCTCCAAACCCTTCAGGTAAACAGACTATAGAAAATAATTGTCTGCAAGATAAGTACCATTGTCCTTGTTTTTTTCTCCAGCCATGACCAACTACCAGGTGGTTCAGAGGGTTCCCCAGGGCTACAGGATGCCATGCCCCCCCAACTGCCCCAAAGTCATGTATGACATAATGATGGACTGTTGGAAGCAGGACGAGCCGGACCGGCCCACATTCGAGACGCTGCAGTGGAAGCTGGAGGACTTCTTCGACATGGACGTGACCTCGTACGACGATGCCGCCCGGTACTAGCACTCTGAGGCGGCTGTGAGACACTGGAAGACACAAATAAATTATTCTTTCTGCACTGAAAATAAATCAAAATCACCTGAATCCAAGCATGAACAAGTTCACAGATTGAAGTGTAATTAAAATGTCCACCCATTGCGGTCAAGTGAAGGATCTAAAATGTTTGATCTGCATGTGATAGAACACTGAGTGTGTCTGGATGCAGCAGTTGGTGAGGACACATGTCTTTGTTAGACAACTCAATGCACTTTCAGACAGGCTGCTGTAACTAAAGCACAGAGACAGAGAGCTGCTATCCGTCCACCTCCTCCAACTGGTTCTTCCTGCTGAAAGGAATGTGTGCAATACATTCTTTCCATTGCCAAGCTACCTGCCATAAGTCACGAGTCACTTCTGACACGCTCCGTCAGTTCCAGAGTGGCAGGTGCCCTCAACTGCACTCATTCCTAAATGCATAGCTACAAGTGATTTAAGGTTATTTAAAGGAAGAAGACCGTCGTTGGTCCCAGCTAAAGGGGCCCAGTAAATTAAAGATAATAAGACTCTAAACTACTACTTCGCTCTTAAGGCCACGGCTTGATTATATAATGAAATAGTTTCACTTCAGCCTTTGTCCCCTGTAAGACAGGTACAAGAGTTAAAATGAGGTATGGATGTGGTCCAGTTTCTACCGAGCCCTGAAGGAGGAATGGACAAACCCAAATGACCTTCTATTAATTTACAACATTATATTATATTTTTAACTAATAATTAGAGCTGCACTCTCATCTAGAATGAATTATAAACAATATATTATTAAGCTTGGTCATAACTCTTCTTCAGCCTCCACGTCCAGTCTTAACCCTCTTTTAGCTTCTTTTTGGTCTCCACCAACTCCTGAGAAAATGTCTAAGTCTTTAAAAATACTCCATGGTTTGAAACGGCTTCCTGCTGTTGATAGCTAGGAGAGATTTACTAATGCATATTCTTTACAATTAAAACACAAGTATTATCTTTGACATCGCATAAACGGTGTGTTAAAGGTTGTTTAATGTAATATCCTTGTATTTTGTGTGCAACATTGGAGTAATTTGACAGCACAGATGATTATTATGAGTGCACACAGATGTTACTTATTTCTCCTTTAATACCTGCTGGCCCTTTTTTCTAGGGCCCCAAATCTCCCAGCCTGCTCCTGGACTAATGACTCAATGACTGAACTAAGCGACACTGTGTGCCCGATCATTAGGAATGATTTGTGTCAGATCTGCGTCCACATTCGTTCTGTGGCTCAGTGTGAGTGGTGGATGATTTCATGCTCTGATGATTCTGTATTATGTTTTTAGTTTCATTACATCATATGCATGCCATTGTTTATATAATCCTGTATTTTACATTATTAAATGACTTTTATTTACTATGATCTTTGTTTGTTTGTTGGTTTGATTGGTTGCTGAACTACTGCTGGTTTTGAATGAGATCAATGAGAAGACCATTTACATGTACAGGAGAGGGAAGACTTCAAAAGGAATATTAGCACGCCTTTAAGTCTGTAGAAATCAAAGTCCATGTCTATTCTGCTGACCAGAATGTTGACAACTTCCTGAAAAATATTTAATCACCGTTGGTTTGAGTGGCCAAAGTCCCTTCCTGTGCACTTCCTGTTCTTGCATGCTGTGTCCACCCTCGTCTCATCTAGCACCTTTCCTGAGTTTTGCCCCTTTCTTTGTAATGTTGGGGACATTTTGGAGAACATTTATTACACCATTTTAAATTTTTATAAGCTTCAATTAGTTTATTGAAAAATATGCCTTAATGTCATTTGTGTTTTTTTTCACAGGGGGGCGCTGACACTGTGAGACATTTAGTGTGTGCACTCAAATCTCTCTGATAGTGTGTATCTCTATCAGGGAGCAGTGACCCTTCTGACCTCGCTCATCAGTAACTATCAGCTGACATGCATGTGTTGTACATTGCATTATTTAGTCTGTTATTTCTGATAATACTGAGAGAGATGGGATGTCATTTCAATATATAAGTTTATAAACTTGGAAAGACTGAAGTGACCATTTCATTTCTGTTTTTATTTAGCCTCAATATTCTTGAGATATTTTCCATACCACAACAATGTTTAGTGGGTATGCTCTACTCCTGGAATCCATCAGGAAGTTTGAGCACAGTAAGAATCAGCGCTATTAGATACATGGAAAATGGAGAGACAATGTTACTGTTCTGAGTTCTGAGATCCTCCCCGCTAGAGAGCAGCATGGCAGCCGGCAGCAAGCATTTTTTTTCACAACAACGAAAAATACTGGCAATGTAATGAATTGACACACCAAGCTTTTTTCCTTCTCACTGCTCTACAATCTCTTTGCTTCTTTATTTGTTATTCTGGATTTACCTCTGTCATTCTGTTCTTTTCCTCTGATCTTTAATATTAGATAGTACATTATTAGATGGCCGAACTTTGTTTAACAGACTAACATTGATTTCCTCAATTTATAAATGGACAGGCTCTTTAATTATACCATAACCTTTTCTCCTCTATCCCTTAACTCGTCTTCCTATACAGATTTACTTGCCTCTAGTCAAGTCAGGATTAAATAAACATTAATCTGGTTAATTTTTTATTTTCAGGATTGAATGTTCAAATCAAGGCCTAAAACCTGGCATTTCATAAGAAAGTGAATAATATATAAACCAAATGTAATATTGGATAAAATGCTACACCAAATGGACAGACACAGATTAAAAATACAAATATAGTCCCCTGGTTTGTCTCTAGAGTCTAACTGCCATGAGAAAAATCAAATCAATGTTCCGAAATCTGTCACGAGATGTCGCTCATTGTACCAATATGGTTGATATAATACATAACATATTATTATTCTAGTAAAAGGGCTCGCTTTGGCAAAAACCTGATCCATACAGCCCTAAATAATAACAAGTAACCATCACGTGTGGTGCTATCTGTAGTTGTTTGT